AGAAAGGTACCAAAAGTCACTCCAGACCGTTTTGAGCAACAGGTTGATAATGACAAAAATCACTTTTTTGACCAAAACGTGTCTCCATAAAAAAAAGGATAAATCCAATTTTTTTTTACAATGTACTTAAAGGGTTTTCATTGATTTGACCTCTGAATGTTTTATTTTGAATTATTTTGAGGGAAGGGTAAAATAAAAACAAATAATGAAAACTGCTTTTAAAAGGTGTTAAAATCTATTGTTGAAGCACGTTTTCTCTTCCCTGCTATGTTTTACCATTGAATTCCATTCATGATATCGATGTCAACTGAATGCCAAATTTGAAATATATTTTCCATGAATAAATACATTTAAAAAATCATTTTTTTAGTTTGTATGTGTTCTCACGTTTGTTAAACTTAAAAGCTCATTTTTTGAAAATGATATGTTTATACCCACCTCGCAAAATGTGCAATATCTCAAAAACTACTTAAGATATCTAAAAAATTCGAAAACCCCTGTGTTCAGAATTGAATTTCCTATAACGTACAACCCATAACTCAAAATGGGCAAAATCCGACTTTAGGTACCTTTCTTTAGGCACACACATATTATCTCGACTTCTATTCAAGATAGAAGGTTTCTTTTTTTTCAAAAGCAAGACAAATACACAAGCTTTAAGGTGATACTAATAACAATATGCCCAAAAATTGATGAGCCTCTGTTTCCATCGCATTGTGATATGTACTGACACAAGAGAAATTATTAAGTGTTCAGAATGAGCAAGACCAACAGATAGAAACAGCAAAGCTGTCTTCAGAGAAATTTGGGCCTGCAACCCGTAACTTGCGTGCGCAACTGTTGCCCTCTACTCAACTTTTGCGCAACTTTTGCCATTTCTGTGAATTCGCGAATTTTAGCCAATTTTCCGCAAAAGTTGGAAAAAAAATATAAAAATTTTGTAAAAAATAACCGAAACTTTCTTCCATGACTAAAAATGATGCCGCCAAGTGGGACAATTCGCACCTGAAACAGACTACCACTTTTCCTTTGTGTGGGCTACCCGGTGCCCATTGCGGATAGGCTATAGGATCGGGTTGGGTCAGGTCGGATCGGGATGATTGCCCAATTTGTTGCCTGAAAACAAACACATTTGTTTTTAAGGCAACGCGTCAGGGGCGATCGACTTGTGCCACGATAGCCGCTTTGAGCCATTAATCTGGCGACCGACCGGATCCGACCCCCCAATAGTCCTATTCGGACAGATCATCTTCTGTCTAGATCTACAGATAGAGTAAATCAATTATAAACACGATCCTCTAATTACTTAGCTTGCTTGGTTCCGTAGCACCAGGTAAATAGATCTAGTATAAAAATTTGTGAAAGACTTTAATTCTTAGGCTAGGAGGGTAGATTGTAGACCTAGACATGGATAGATTCATCAAGAAAACCCCAAAAAGGGACGTTCAACTATAATCGTAAGTACGGAAAGGGGGACGCGGTCTTAAACCAATGTAATATTACACTTTTGTGAGGTGAAAAAATAAGAAGGAAAATAGTTTATATGACAACATAATTTTTTTTTAAATAACACATAAAAGTAACTATATTCACTTAGAGCGTTAAGCACGACATATCCGTGGCGATACATTAGGTCCTCGAGCGGCCATCTCCCATTTTATACACTGGTAGATATACATACATGCAGTTGATTACACAGGTGTGGTTAAAGTGGTAAAATGACACCGTAAATTTTCCAAGAAAAGTTCCGCTTGTACCGTATTTAATTATCTAAAATGTGAGTAAGCATGTTTTTCATGAATACTGTGTAAAGCGCATAGATTAGAACAATTACTGTAACATAGATTTGGGCAATATAAATATAACACAGCGGTTATAGAGCGCCCATTTAGTTTCGGCTGGCGCGAGGCAAGCAAGCCCGCGCTTCCCCAGGTCACGGGGTCATTTACCTGCACCGCCGGGGATTTCCCTAATCAGCCGAACACCGGCAGCGCTCTTGTATTTTTTGCAAAGTTTACCAGCACAGTGAGCCAAAGCTAATGTAAGATGAATATTTTAATAAAGACCACGTAAATATTCAACATATTAAGGAAGAAAATGAAGAAATCGGAAGAACATGGTACATTACACTTAAAAGCTGTGAAGTTCTCAAAAAGGGGACTTAATTTGATAAATGTGTCATGGGTAATCAATTATAAACATCGATTTAAATATGATTGCCCCCAACGAATTCAATCAAATTTGCACACAGGACTGAGAACATAATGAAATTTGTACTGACAAAGGGGCATATGCACGAAGTTTCTGGATCCGTAATTATTCAGGTTTGAAGTTGATTTTTGCAATACTCTTGCTTTGCGACCTTGTTTTTTCATAGCGATATCCACGATACATGTAACTACAGGACAGATCTTTTCTTGCCGATACACTTATGAAAACACAACCTAAACACAAAATACAAAAAGAACACAATATTGCTGGACTGGAGGAATTATCTCATTTTTCCGCTGTAAGCTTTCGTCTTTTGATGGGTGGTGCACACGACAGAGTAGCTCAGGGTGGGTTTGGACGTGTTGTGACTGCATGGTTGTTTTGACGTGTTTTTCTTTGTCTGTTAGGCCACGGTTGCATGAATGAGATCACCCCCTTGCTCACAATGGAAGGCCATTCCAAACCCACATTTTTGTATCCAAGGAACGCAGTGTTTCTCAAGGATATGTTGTTTGGGGATGACCTTTTCTTTTGATCGATTTTGATTGAGTAGCACGTGTTTTACGGCACTATCGACTCAAGACCTTTTATTTGCCAACTATGTTTCTGTATAAAGACATATATCGTGTGATGCATGACTGAATAGTGGTATTCTCTCTAAAGTGATTGGCTTTCCATGTGCAATTACTGTGTGGATATCTTTGAAAGTGTCTTTTACGTGAACAAATTTCTCTCTCAGAACAATTAATGCGGTGTCTATTATGCTTTGATTTCGTGTACATGCAACTGTTCCTTTTGCTAAAAATGATGCTAGCTGTCTGTACACATGGGCTGTGATGTATTTATGGCAGTGGCTTCCTATAAATGAACGGCTGTGGTAGGCCTGTGGTGTGATGTTGTGTTGTTTGAGGATGTTATCAAATTCAGAGCAGGCAGGACTTGACCTTGGAATAAGCTCCTCAAACTCTAACTCTGACAGCTGATCATGTACACTAGAACCCTTCCTCTCAAATCTCTCTGCTTCTCGTGGATTATCCGACAAAATCTGACAGCCCTGTAACAATTGAATGTCCTCCTCGTTTTTTTCCAGCCCTCTTTCATTTTTTGCCGTAGATATGCACATTTTGTCCTATTCCAGGCGTGCAATTCTCCATAGATTGATGGACCAGCTGTACATCTATATCATGTGCCAGCTGTACATCTATATCATGGGCCAGCTGTACATCTATATCATGTGCAGCCTCCTCAAGAAGGCCATGATGTTTGAGCACAATGCCCACCATATGATCATGTTGAGTGTGGCACTCCATGACAAAAATATTGTTAAAAATGACAACGAAATTCAGATGTAGTAGAGGCAAGAAAACTAAAAACAGCAAGGATGAATGTTCAGAGTGGTGGGTTGGTATTTTTTAAAAATCACAGAAAATCATAGAATAACTTCGTGCATTTGAAACTTGCACATGTAAATGAAAATTGTCACCACAGTTGATACATGAATTTCTGTTTAAATCGTTGGGGGCCGGATTGAAATATCTAAATCCAAACTGAAAAAGTTCTAAACATTGAAGATGCCAGTTTGAAAATCACAGACTTACTTAAATCCCTTGTAAAACTGATATAATCGGACTTACAAGAAAACAAGTTATACCGGCCCACAGGTCAAACATAGCACGTTACAATGAAATCTCAATCGGCCTTGTAGCATTTATAGTTTCAGAGTTAGGAGGCTTTCAATTCGCACTAAAACGCCATATTTACTACTGCCCCGGCACAGGAGGAGTGGCGCTGCGGTCACCCCAATTAACCCCTCTGACAAGTGATTTATGACTACGCGCTGGGCTGTCGGGCCGGGCGGGCAGGGTGGTGAGGATGGTCGGGGAGGAACCGGGGAAGGAAAACTAAGTGAGCGGTCTGGATGGTATTTTATCCGCTGTGATAAATGACATATTATTATCATTATAACTACTATTATTATTATTATATTATAATATAAGCGAATAATGTAATATTAGTTATTACGGGATGGGGGGGGGGATGTAAGAAAAGCGTAAAGTGGGGGGGGGAAGTACCAAAAAAGGTGTAAGATTATATCTGAACAGCCCCAAACCACGCTGGTCACACCTGCCCAACATCAGCGAGAGTTTAAGAAGGACCTGACACATGTGTCAGGGGACAAACTGCTTTTGTACACCATGCAACCTCCAAGCAGTTTTTTTTTCTTGTTTGTAGACATTCACATTTACTTTTGATCTTGATCTAACAAAACTCTTGTTGGTTACTTTGATTGCAATTAGCACATCAACAAGGTATTCCAATAATTCCATGAATTTTTTTTAGCTATACACGTCTAGCAACTTTTCTTGCAACTTTAGCTAATTTTTCTTGCAACTTTTTGCAACTTTTGCTATTTCAAATGCAACTTTCTTTGAGGACAGGAACGGAGTGAAAAAAAAAAAAGTAGGAATTGTCAGTGACACACTCAAACGACCCCTTCAACTGAGCTGTTTGGGCAGAAAAAAGGGGGCTGTCAGGTGTCAGTCTGACTAGCGTATAAACCTGTTTCAAGTCAAGTGAACATGACTCAAGCAGCCCCAATGTATCATTTGCCAAGGCGAAGAGATGGCTACACAGAGAGAGAGAGAGTGCGAACAGACTGAGGGGAGTAGAAAGAACATTGCTTGCAAATGTAAAAACCTCAAAAAATTTGAGAGCCAGAACTTTAATAGAATCATGTTAGGAGGGTGTTGGACCCTAAAACAAAGGCATAAAGCAAAATTTCAACAAACCTGAAAGAACAGGCGTCTTCATGGCATCTGGTAGAGTTACCCCTAAGTTGTCCTGTGTGGTGTCACGAGAGTTAAGCTTGGGCGATGTTGTTGTGTTCAGCGTGGAGTCCATAGAGTCCAAAAGAGCCACTGTCAAGCCAGTAAGAGTAAGAGTCAAAGGAAGAATATTGAAGAACAAAATAGACGGAAAAAATACTACCTTCTCTCCTTCCATGGAGAAATTTGGATTTACACTAGCATGTTCATTTCTTAAATGAAATAATTCAATACAGACATCCTTAAAATATAAGGTCATCAAGGGGCATCAATGTCCCATCTTAAAAAATGGCATCTGATGTCTCCCTTCCATTTTGTGCTGTTAACCCCTTCATAACATTTCACATACATCATGTGACAATAGGCCATCCTCACAAACAGCGTACATTCTAAAAATCAGCTGACTTTTGTCATTTGTGTGGACCATAACATGTACAGTGCATTGTTTATGTATATATCTTTACACACTCCTAATGCACCCAAAGCACGCATTTCTGCTCTTGAGACTCAAAAAAGAACAGACAATGTAACTTGTCTTTCGTTAGACCTGCTGAAGTTAGAAATGCTAAATTGTACAAATATTTTGGACAAGTGTGAATGAAGGAAAATCAGTATAAAAAAACGGCACTTTAGGAACATGAGCGACATAACATTGGTGTAGATACTCAGAAAAGATGGTATGTGCACATATAGAAAGCTGTAATTGTGCAACCTTATCCATCTGGCACACAATTCGCTACGAAGTAATTCCTCCAAATACCACTTTATGTGTCCAATATAATCATGAATATTCGCATATTTTCTCAAAAGTTTATAAGAATTACCCTGAAGTCTCTGTAAGAAAAAGTACAAACCGATTTTAGGGCCAAAAGACATCTACAATGCAATACATGAACAGTATCAGTTACACTTCTGAAATATTCTTTACATTTCTTGACAATGGTAAGTCTAGGTTTTGTTAGTTGACTGAATAACAGGGATGACTTCTCGTAATTGGGTTTCAAGAATAATTTCTGGCTTTCCAGTGACACTGAATCAACACCAGACTTTTCCAGCTTTTATTTTCGTTTCCTTGACCATTTGCAATAACTGACAATGTTCTTATTTCTTTACATTCACAAGTGTCTGTGCATATTTCCGACACAAAAACTAAGAATGAATGTGTTAGCTGTCATTATTTTTTTTATTCCATACAAGAAGTTTATCTCTACCTTCCCATGTATTTTTGTGGGTTTTTTAAATTGCATAATGTGTCTTTCTTAATTGTATGCAGGCTGCAAAATACACAGCATGATTCATGAACAAACGCAGAGTAACTTTCTCTTGTTTAAAGGTAAAACAAGAGCTAACATTGAGTGTCTTTAGTTAAAAAATGCAGACATGCATCTTTCTTCTCCTATAACTTGACTATTACTACTTGCACAGATTTAAGATTTCTCATAGTAAAAGACATGATATTCGTTAAACAGTTTAACACAGATTTCGGAGAGATCTGTAGTAGTAGTAGTATAAGGTTTTACGGCGCTCGCAACTGCTAAGGTCATATGAGCGCGCGAAACACAAGTTGTTCACCTCTG